AATAATGATAATCATCATCATCATCATCATAACAATAGTAATTCTAGTAATAAAAAGTAACAATAATCATAAGACTAATATTAATAGTAACAATAAAAATGACGATAATAATAGTGATAATAATAATAACAATAATAATATTAATGATGATAATAATAATAATAATAAGAATATGTAGTATGTAATGCATGGATCAGTTGCTCGAGAAGTGACAAAGCGGGGCCTGCGACCACACAGCGTAGACGCCTGCAAGGTGCGCCACGTCCCTGTGGAGCCCGAAGGCTTTCAAGACGGGCTCAGTGAAAAAGCGGAGCAGCATGAAAGGCCTTGAGCAGCTGCTTCGGAGTACGGAGTAAAGTCACAGGCCGCTTTTTAGGAAGATGGAGAGAAGAAAGAGCTGAAGTGAAGCTGAATGGCACGCCGGCGACTGTAGTGAAGACGAGGTAGATCTGTAGCCATACGCCCACCAAAGGCAAATTCCCGGCCCCGTAAGCTTGACTGCAGAACATCGACAGCTGCCCGATCCTGGGCTACAAAGAAACGCACTCCGAAGCGATCACGCTGTGTATTCGACGCTGCTCGACATTTAAAGCCAAGGAACCCAGACAAGAAAAAGACATCCGTAAGAGAGGTCCAGATGGCACTCACTGACGTTGCAGCCAAGGCCAGTGTATCTAAATGCCCAAGCATTATGCTTGTCAGCAGATTGTTGATGGTGCCGCTGGCCGCCGACAGCGCTAAAGGCAACCCGAGCTTGGCAATCGCACGCAGCTCCCGAAGCGCTTCTTTACCCCACGCCTGATCCACAAAAAAAAACCAACAACATTTCCGACTGCTGTGGGGGCTCATCGATTACACCCTGACCACCCCACTTCGCCTCAGGAAATTCTGCAACATGCTTTGGGCCTTGTCCTCACGCAAGAAGCCCTGGTCCAAGTCATGACAAACCTCCGCGCTCGGGAGCACACCACTGCGCGGGAGCGCCTCCACCTCCACCATCGCAGCGCAACACCTAGCTCCTTCAAAAAACCCGATTGCTCCTTCTGTGAGTAAACTAACAAGATGCCGCGACCACAGAAGAAACAGAAAATGCGATCCCCAGCAGCGTTTGCAGATAGCTTCTTGGGCCAATAAAGGGAGCAGCATCCGGAGATTTCATTCAAAGGAACCGGAACAGGCTTCTGACGACGGCCTTGTGGGCGTGAGCTCATCGACACAGAGTGCGCGCACCAGGCAAGGAGTCGGCCACTCCTTCGGAGGAAAAGAGGAAGCTAGAGAGCAAAAGAGCTACAGATTCCCATACGATGGTGAGCCGTACTTCCGTCAGGTGATGACAACGCTGCTGTTGCTGCAGCTAGTCATTGCATCAAGTGAATTTCGCTTACATGATCCTGCCAATGGCATCAGGATCCCCAGGACAATTCCAAGCTTAAGACATGGCCTTTCAATTCCAAGCTTCTACTTCCTCTCGTCCTGTCGTCACGTGGTTATCGTCCTCGTCCTTCTCCTCATACTCCTCTGCTCCTTCTCATCATCCTCTCCTCAGCCTGATCAGCGCGTGGACATCATCACAATCATCCGCACCCATCATCTCATGCTCCTCACAGCCTAAACAGTATTCTCACCATCGTGTCTTTGGTATCACACGTCATCGTCACCATCGTCACCACCATCATCACCACCATCATCAACACAATCATCACCAGCACCATCACCACCACCATCACCCTCCTCCTCCTCCCCAATCCATCCGCGTCATCATCCATACCCTGATCACATCTACATCATCATTCTCGTCGAGGCCTTGGGACTAGTCGCACCAATTTAGATCGTCACCAGATTTCAACACTCTCGTGCTGAATCTTGCGAGACTGACATTCCCATGTCATGCTATTTGTACTATCAGCACCATTCCGCCAGTTACGCTACCGCCAACTTCATTCTCTCAGCTATGTCTTGTGGTGAAGACACGATCATCCGAACTAGCGCATCTGCCACAGGGGCAGTCAGACCCATGACCACGTCCTGCAGCGCGAAACGCTGGAGTGCATAAAGCCGTCGGTTGTCCAAGGTAACGAGGACGCCCTGGAGCGCCGGGCCCACAACATGAAGGGCAATAAAGCAGGCTGCTGTGTTTGTTTGGCACCATCAGAATGGCAACCTACAATCGAAAGTGAACGCACCGACTCATGCGCCAAGCAGCAACTACATTACACAGATTACGATTACTAGATCAATGCGGAAATGCCTGATTCCCAAGAGTCTTGCTCTAGAAATTCCTGTAGGGTTCGTGATCTCCTGTCTTGCCTGCTCTTTGAGGTGCAGGAGCCGGACGGGAGGGAAGGGCGGCTCGATACGCCTCGAAGCTTGAGAAACTGACCCGGATGCCCCAGAACCGAAGCAAGTCTTGTGCTGGGGCAAAGGGAATCGTCCATTTCATGAGAAGCGCCCGAAAGCTGCTTCTTTGGACTCGAAAAACAGTCCTGGGCCGCGGCTTACATCTCTTTCCCTCCTCATTCTTCAGCTTGATCTGAAGCATGACCTGGCATTGCAATGCGACGTGCCATGGCATCAGCCGGCTGCGCACGTGTTTTCTGGAAGAACATGATGAACAGCACTGACAGACATGGCTCAGACGTGATGGGAGTTCCCACGATCGCGACAGTTGTAGTTGTAGCGTCAGTGTTTTCGTGTTTGCTTTTTCGTATCTGTAACAAGGTTCCTTAAAATCGGGTCTCTCTTGTGGAACCCGCCTCAGAGATCGGCCCCCGCTCGTGGAAGAACGGGTGGATCTTGCCCTGAGAGAAGCGCACGGCCAGGGGCGAGATCCAGCGCTCCTGGACATCAAAACACGGATGCTGGGGAAAGAATGTCTGTCCGTCCGTCCATCTCTGTCCGACTCTCTTTCTTTCAACAGGGCTGTGCAGGGAGCTTCCCTTCTCTCTCTCGCTCTCTCTCTCCCTGCGTCTGCCTGCCTGCCTGCCTGGCTGGCTCTGTCTGTCTGTCTGTCCGTCTGTCTGTCCGTCTGTCTGTCCGTCGGTCTGTCTGTCTGTCCAAGCATCCAAGCATCCATCCATCCATCCATCCATCCATCCATCCATCCATCCATCCATCCAATTTAATATCGACATAAGAAATTTGTGGATACACAGAATGCAGACATGTAAACACACAGATAGATCGATAGATAAATCGATAGATAGATAGATAGATAGATAGACAGACAGTTAGACAGCGAGCTAGACAGATGGAGAGCTAGATAGATAGATAAGTAGGTAGATAGATAGATAGATAGATGAATCATAGACAGATAGATAGACAGATAGACAGACAGACAGACGGATAGAT